AACTGATCGAGCACATTAGAAAAAACCGTGCTGCCACAAAAAAGCACATAAATTAATAAGCCACACTGGGTTATCATCATCATTACTAAATAATAGAGTCCATCATTGTTCCTGTCCCGAAGAAACCCCACCCTGCTTCTCTCAATGACTATCGCCCTGTAGCCCTCACCTCAGTAGTGATGAAGTGCTTTGAACGCCTGGTCAGAGACTTCATCATTTCTTCACTACCAGACACACTGGACCCACTACAGTTCGCTTACCGTCCAAATCGTTCCACAGACGATGCCATCTCTCATCTCCTCCACACATCACTCACTCACTTGGACACTAGAAGGGGGAATTATGTTAAAATGCTCTTCATAGACTACAGCTCTGCATTTAACACCATAATTCCCTCCACACTCACCACCAAGCTGGAGCATCTGGGACTCAGCTCATCTATGTGTCAGTGGATCTCCAACTTCCTAACTGGCAGACCACAGGCAGTAAGGATGGGCGGACATGTCTCAGCCTCCACCACTCTCAGCACTGGAGCCCCCCAGGGGTGTGTTCTGAGCCCCCTGCTGTACTCTTTGTACACATATGACTGTGTGGCCACTACCAGCTCCACCACCATCATCAAGTTTGCTGACGACACCGTCGTGGTGGGCCTGATCTCTGATAACAACGAGACGGCCTACCTGAAGGAGATTAGGAATCTGGAGAACTGGTGCCAGAGGAACAACCTCCTTCTAAACGTCAGTAAGACAAAGGAGCTGATAGTGGACTTCAGCACTAAGCAGGAGAGGAACTACCAGACCCCCGTCATCAACGAGTGCCCAGTGGAGAGAGTGGACAGCTTCAAATACCTCGGAGTTCACATCACGCAGGACCTGTCATGGTCCTGTCACATCAACACCGTGGTGAAAAAGGCCCGACAGCGTCTCTACCACCTCAGACGCTTGAGAGACTTCCAACTGCCCTCCAAGGTGCTCAGGAACTTTTACTCGTGCACCATAGAGAGCATCCTGGCGGGAAACATCTTAACCTGGTTCGGGAACAGCACCATGCAGGACAGACGAGCTCTACAGAGGGTTGTGCGGTCAGCTGAGCGCACCATCCGCTCCGAGCTCCCTGACCTGCACTCAATCTACAGCAGGCGGTGCTGGACCAAGGCCAGGAAGATCGTGAAGGACCTCAGCCATCCCAACAACAGACTGTTCTCTCTGTTGAGGTCAGGAAAGCGATTCCGCTCCCTGAAGACCAACACAGAGAGACTGAGGAGGAGCTTCTTCCCGCAGGCGATACGGTCTCTCAATCACACCACCACACAGTACTGACCCACACATATGGTTCTTACACACACACTGGACTTTCTGGACTTTGTTTTTGCACAACACTGGTCACTATATTCTTCATTTCCGGTTAATACTTGTACAGCTGCTGTTATTGTGTATATATTTATTTATATTTCTTCATACATTCTTATATAGTTCTATATTGTGTATTTTGTTGTACAGTTATTTTATTTTCAACTTTAATTTATATATTTTATCTTATTCTCCCAGTTAAATTTACCCTTCATTCTAATTTGTGTTGTACAGTTATTTCATTTTTAACCTTAATTTATATTTTATTCCTTCCTAGTTAAATTTACCCTTTTTAATTTTTCATATTTATTTCCTATCTTATTCATAGCCTTTCCTTTTTTGTTTTCTTTAGGTCACGAGCAGTTGTCCAAGCATTTCACTACATATCGTACTGTGTATGACTGTGTACGTGACAAATAAAATTTGAATTTGAATTTAATAATAGAAGAAATAGCACTTAACTTTCTTTGTTTGATAATTTGTTAATTTTAATATGTATTGTTATGTTTTCATATTCCTAGCTTGCCTACTTTCTAGTCATATTACTCATATGCGTTGTTTTTGCTGTGAATTTTGTAAACGTTGTGATTTATTATTATTACTATTATTATTATTAGTTGAATAATTAATCCGCTGGATTTTCTTCATCTTCTTGCGCTGTATGTTTGTGTGGAATTTTTTGGTGCATTTCAAACAGCACAACAAGAAATTCACATTCAAATTCACATTCATACGAGTACATTTACCAAATCTTTTCGATTGGATACTGAATATCAAGGAGGCCACGATTTCCACATAAGAACTCACATATGAAGCTTATGCTATTTAAACTACCCAAATCTGTTCATTAATATTATATTTCCTTCATTTTTATGCCTAAACAAGTTGGTTAAGTCTAAGAAAACTTGTGAAAAATATGTGTGGTTATTTCTTTCATTCAAGTCAGCACTGTTATCCGTGGACAGGAGGCTGAAGCTTTGGATTTTAGACGGACTTATTGGAAACATTTCCTCTGAGCGATTTAAACAGTCGCTTCAAAACTCTTTCGCGTTTGTTTTATTTCTCGGCACGTCCCCGCCGGTGTAACCCCGCCGGTGTAAACCAAAGACAAAGCCGTGTGCCGGTAGACCGAGCGGCAGATAAATCACTCCGTCCTGTCCGCAGCCGCCTCCAGCGGATGCCAGACCGGACACAATGTAGCCTTTGACGCGAAAGCAGCTCCGCGGGAACGGGCTGTTCCTCGCGCCGGGAAGCTCTCCGCGAGGGGGTTTCGGTTAATTAAAGCGTCGCGTGCAGCTGTTTGTCCTTTATCGGGTGTTTTTCGTGGGAAATAATGAAGAGAAGCCAAAGGCGGGCTGATAGTGTGCCTAGCGGTGTGTCTTGGTGTTAAAGTAGTCCTCGGCGTTGGAGAAAAGGTCAGCGCAAAACTGTTTAGCTGCTTAATAAGAGCCGACACGTTGCGTTACTTTAAAGATTTCTATGTAACGACAGGAACGACGTGGGGAAAACACACATTTCTCACCTCGCTCTGTGTCCACTAGCTCCCAGCGCCGCGTCAGCTGAACCTGTCTGTGCTGCCAGCCGCTTTTTCTTGTTTTGTCCTCTTGGAGGAGCGCGAGCACCCAAAGCACCGCGAGAGTTCACAAGCTGAGCTTTCTGCAGATTGAGCGCACGAAGGGAAAAATTCACTTTTCTGGGTCAGCTCCAGCATACCGTGTCTCTGCTCGGGGATGATTTATGGAGACAGCCTCTCCACCCTCCCTCCCAACCTCCCACAGGAGCAGAGTACTGAAAATAACATATTTTACCTGCAATCCTAAATGTCACCCTCCTCTCAAACACACGAAATAAGACCCTAAGAATGATCCTAAGTAAATGTGTTCGTGGGTACGTGTAATTATTTCCGTTGCCTCGGGCTGATGCGGTTAAAATCCAGTTATTTGTGAACTCTTTTCATCCTGTGACTTCCAACGTAGCAAGGAGCCCCCACAGAGCAGCTGATTTACTTTGCATCCCCCTCACACACACACAAAATCATCTGTTTTCAATCAGCATCACATATTTCACCCCGCTCCTAGGCCCCTGTGTTCTCATAAATGTACTATAACCTTGTACTCTGTACTCTGGCAGTATTTATACGTTGGACACACGCACACACACAACTAAGATTATATATAACATCACTCCTAAGAACAGATAGATGCGGATTATAAGAAAAAAAAAAGAAAGGGGTGGGGGCACATCCATCCTGATTATTTTCATGTCAAGCCATGTAATTCTTCTATACATTTTATAATGTGCATGTATGTTATACGTTTTTAATACACTGGAGTTAAAGTCTGGTGAGCTTGTTATGTTCAGTGTGTGCCCGTTATGATCACTACTGTGGACACAAGCATGTCTTTTCACGCAGATGAGGAGATTATCCTGCATCCATATGAAAGAGTTTACTCTAAATCCCCTTCTGGCAGCCTCATTCTCACTAGATTGAATCCAAATGTGGTCATTAAAAAACCCCAAAACATCCAGACACTGATTTTAAGCCTTAGAAAACAACATGATAAACATTCAGTGAGTTAAAGAAGAGAAGTTCTTTTCATGTGGACCTGTGAGCAAGTCTAGAGCCACTCTTTATGTCTTTGTAGTTTGCAAGAAAGCTTTTATTTTTTGCATTACAATTTTTTTACAATTACATGTTTCAGATCATCAAACAGATTTTCATATTCGATAAAAAATCTGTTCAAACCTATCTGGTCCTGTGTGAAAAAGCAATTGCCCCTTAATCCTAATAACTGGTTGTGCTACAATTGGCAGCTAAAACTGCAATCAAGCATTTGTGATATCTGCCAGTGAGTCTTTCACATCACTGTGGAGGAATTTTGGCTCATTCCTCTTTGCAGAATTGTTTTAATTCAGACACACTGGAGGGTTTTCAAGCATGAACGGCCTGTTTAAGGTCATGCCAAAGCATCTCAATCGGATTTAAGCCCAAACTCGGACCTTCTGGCATGTTTTTCCTGCTGCATAAGTGAAGCACGGTTGAGCTTCAGGACACAAAGTGATGGATGCACGTTCTCCTTCAGGATTTTCTGGTAGAGAGAAGAATTCATTCAGGGGCTGCTTGTCATCAATCACGACAAGCAGCCCCTGACCATCACACTACCACCACCATGTTCCACTGTTGCTGATGATCTTTTGCTGTGTTAGTTTTACGGCAGATGTAATTATTATTCAACACAGCCTGATCTGTCTTAGGCAGCTTACTTGTCATTTCTTTAAGTAGTCTTCAGGAATAGTTCTCCAGGCTTCATGAAGGACATTCAAAGCTTTTCTTTGGATGTTTCTGCCTTTTGTTCTGTTCTCCATCAACATGATCAAACACTGCTTCAATCATTTTGAGCTCTGCACTCCGGGGAGGCCAATCCATGACTCATAGTGTTCCACTCTGTGTTTTTCTATCCAAGTTTGATTTTACTCCACTGGCAGTGCGTTTGGGATCATTTTCATGCTAAATGAATGAAGCTGCTTATCGGGCCGTTCCAATTTTAGTCACTAGAGGGCAGCACAATCTCATGTAGGTCCGGTCTCACTCTTATTGAAAGTACAGCTCAGTTTCATTTTTTAATCTTATTTTTAACATGCAATTCAAGGCAAAGAAAGGATTCTTTTTCATGTTTTCAAACTGTTTATTTTTCTAAATAAAAGACATATTTACAAAATATATAATGCATTTATTTATTTAACAATTTCCACACTTACATTTTTGAGTTTCACCATAAATATAAACGCAGAAAAGCATGATATAGAAGGCTTTTTGTGTTTTACTGTGTTTAACGGCACATGTACAGGCTATTGCGTGTATCTGTGTTTGCCTACAGCAGGTCCTGCTCCACCCAGATGGTTTTCTTCTGCTCGTCCAGTATTCGGTCTTTGATCACCCTGATGAGGTCCTCCGTCCCTGCCCAGGCCTCCGGCTCCAGGGTGGCATACAGACATGGGATGCCCTCCAGCTCCTTCTCTTTTGCGCGACACAGCTTCACAAAGTCTTCCTCTGACTCCACGCGCAGAGGCAACTTCCTGTGTGGAGAGGAAACAGGAAGGAAGCAGCGATGAGGTGGTGAGTGTGGTTTAGAACCCAGTGTTTCTGATGAGATCCTGTCGACAGTCTGCAACAGCGGTCTGCATGCTTTTTCTCAGAAAGATAAGGCTGACGGTAATGGGTTCATGAGCTGGACTGCTATTTAAAGACACAATCCACCATAACACACGTCAAACATCTGGCTTCATTTAAAATCACGTAACGGACAGTTGAGGGGATCACGCACACAGATATTTTGAGTAAGGATCTAGATCTTGGTACCTTTCTGGGCAGGACACACACAAAAAGAAAGGTAATTGCAGCCAGCTACGATTAAAAGTTCAAAAGCAACAACAACATTAAACTGACATCCTCGGCTCAACGCCAACTCTTATCTGGTGTCATATCAAAATATCAGGGACTGTTTTTTTATTTTTTCTTGTTCTTGGAAAAAAAGAATTGCGGTTTACAGCTGTGTGGTTTGAGTCACAGGGTAAACATGCAAGATTAAACAAGCTTTGCTAGGTCTACCTTAATTTCTTGACATTTTTGTCACAGATCTTGACGTAGATGATGATTGGGTAGATTTCTCTCCGCAGAAGGTCCTTGACGCAGCTCAGCTCAGCCTCCAGCAGGCAGTGTTTGCCCTGGTGACGGGTGGAAAAAAACAGCCTTTACAGACAAATACAGATCTACTACGTACATACATGAACAAGGAAGTCTCATTAAAAGATTTTAAAGTTAACTGCTTTCGCATATATATCTATTCATTCTTTTGAGGAGTTAGGTGAGGACTTGGTCTTACAACCTGATTTCTCTGCACTACGAATAAATTAAATGAGGTCGGCCTTGAAGGCTTAACATCTTGACACCGCTGTGTTTCGGCCTTTAACTGCAAGACGCTGTCAGCTGAGGTAGGCCTACCACAGGCTCATCAGACCTAAATGTGTGTCTTGTGGTTAGCCTTTAGATAACGTCTATTTTTTAATTAGCCACAGCCGGTGACAGCTCATTCAGAGGGCACTAGCTTCCTACAGGCCTGCGTTCTGACTCACACTTCCCTCAGAAGCATTGTGATTGAGAAGCCTGCACCCCATTTCCACTGGACACACTTTTTCCATTTTAGCTCCCCTGCTTCGAGTATTACAGGTGTTTCCGTGCTTGGCATATGAAGCACAGGTGGAGACAAACTAGCACTACTTGGACCTCGGGACTACAGCCAGTCAGTCAAAATATTCACCTGGGAAATTGGACCACTCGTTCAACTGTCATTACTGTGGGATCATCACAGAAATAAGGCAAGCCAGTATTTGGCTACGATCTTTCTTTCTTTTTCTTTGATATAGACTCATCAAAACAGAAATATCTTGTCAGTCAGGGAGCTTCACAAATCCCACTAATTGGGTTTGGTACACTCTGACAGAGCCAGGCTTGTTGCTTTACATTCCCACACACTGACTAATGATAGTATTAGTCTATTTGGCACAGATTTCCATTCAGCCCACTGAATACCTTTAGAGTATGTGAACTAGACTTTTAACTTTTAACTGTATATTCCTATAAGTTTTACAGCTTTTCCTAATGATAAAGAGCTCCTCCATGGCTATTCATACTAAACCTAAGTAATTAAGTAAAAGATAAGTCCTGTTGTTTCACTACCTAACATCAAATTATGTGCTTTATTGTTTTGTTTTGTGTTTTTTTTGTTTTGTTTTGTTTTGTTTTTTGTTTTTTTGTTTTTGTTTTGGGGGGGGGGGGATTTTAGTACAGAGAGCATTTGTTTTTCAGGCAGAAAAACAAAACATACTGTTGACATCCACTCTTTTTTCATCTATACTAACATATGAGGATTAAATGTGCAGTTTCAATTTCTTTACATTGGTGGAAGGGGGGGGGGGGGGTATAGCTTAGCTGACCCACTTTATTTCAAAAGGTATGAATAGGACTGACAAACAACGATGTCATTTTTAGAGCAGTTGACTTTCTTTGACTTTGTTGGGTTTTTTTAAGGAGAAGAAAAAAGACCGAGACTTGCACTGAACAACTACGCTTTACATCTTTAATGTTTCCTTATTTTGCATATTTATTTATTGTGTGTCTGTGTTTTAATATTGCGTGCACCGTGTCTGGATATAGAAACTGGATTTACCAGCTTTTAACTGTTTTTTACAGCAGATGATACAGATTAAAGAACACGTTTTATTATCAAGCCATCAGACGCCTCTACAGCAACACCCAACTGCTGCTTACAGTTGTCAGTTTCCTCATGTGCAACATGCTGCATATTGCAACACGTCTACCTCTACAACTACGTTTGGTTGACTCTGTGGAATCCTTTAAAAAACAGTTAAAAACTTTACTGTTTAAACAAGCTTTCTGTTGACCAATGCTTTTTACATTTTTATATTTTTAATTTACATTTAAACTCTATATTGTATATATCGTGCATTTTGCTATTTATCGTACTGTTTATTTTAATCTCTGCTTTGTGACTACCTGTCTATGAAAAGCGCTTAATAAATAAACTTTACTTACTAACTTACTTCTTTTATCTTAATTTCTTGTTTTTCATCTCATCAAACACATTTCAGTGTTTGTCGTAAATCACACATGACAAATAAAAGTAAAACTGAACTGTAATATTGGTTTGTTTTTTATATGTTTTTAAATAATCATGCTGTATAGAATAAAAGATATGTAATACCATATTGTAGGATCTTTGGTTACCATTATACTATTATTTTAGTTCCCCCCCTGTAATCTCTATGAACAGTTTATTACTGTAAAATGCTGCGACTCTCATGTTCTCAATTTATTTTCTTTTTTTTAAGTTTTCATATTATGACAGTATATCAGTGTTATCCTAAGAAAGCCATAGGTACACTTGGACTGGTTGCCAGTTTGTCACAGAGCTAACACAGAGAGCCAGACGACAGTCATTCATGACTTTAGCCAGTTTAGAAACTCAAGTACCCAGCATGCAAAGTCCATACAGCTCCAACCAGCCGGGCCTTTCTTACTTTGCGTTAACAGTGCTAACCACTGCACCACTAAACACAAAATAACTGAAATAACAAGCAAAATATTTATAAATGAATTATTTAACCCTTTAAACAATAACCCGTCAACGGTGACGGTTAGCATTTTTAGCAAGTTTGGGCAACTCCAAGCCTTGAGGGTCAGAGTCCTGCAGGATTTAGACCTCACCCTGGGTCAAGACACCTGAATCAAATGATTAGTTCATCACCAGGCCTCTGGAGAACTTCAAGACATGTTCAGGAGGTAATTTAGCCATTTAAATCAGCTGTGTTGGATCATGGACACATCTAAAACCTGCAGGACACTGGCCCTTGAGGTCTGGAGTTGCCCACCCCTGGTTTAAAGGATAAATTGGTTTAGGGTTTAAAGGGTTAAACTTAACTTTTGTATTCCTCTAAATATGTGCGCTTACTAAAAGAAACAATATTTCAAAAAAATCTATATCTTGCTGTTAACATATTCATCAGGATTTCCACTGTAATCACATAGCATTACTATAGCATGTTTACTACATTTTTACAGCTATTTCTTAAAGGGTGAGAAGTAGGGGTAAGTTATATGATTGGGGTTAGGATGATAGCACATTTAAAGCTTGTTTGTTTCAGTTTCATCACACACAGTGTACACTTTAGTGTAAAGTTAACAAATAAAGCCTTATAGTTTCTATGTGTGCGATAATTAGGCCTGTGAATATGACAGGTTTATCACTGGTTACATTTGTTGTATGTCTTTTAGTGTCAGGTTGTCTTGATCCTTATTAACTTTACAAATCTGAATAATTACATTAGAATAACATTCCCACAACAACGGGAGTCATGTCAGTCTTCCACACTCCCCTTTGACTAAAGTGGTCCCTTAACGTTTATAAAGGAGTAAACACATTAGGAGACGTTGCATTTTCACACACACACAATATAAACTCACTTTTGCAGCGACAGCCTCTATGTTTTCTCTGGTGATGCATTCAAAAGTGGCTTGTTTCTCTTTGTAGTGAATGAAGGGCTCCACGTTCTGTTTTAGATGAAACTCCTCCTTGGTCAAGCTGTCTGCTCAGCAGGATGCAAAGGAAACAGGACAAAAAAAGAAAAGATGTCAAGTCTGTTTCTTGTCTTGTCAAATTGTGGCTCTAAGGGCAGAGAGATGAAACTGTTCATTTGTTAACAGTCACCACAGCACATTTAGCACAAGGAACAGAAACCTTTGTGGTTTTTGCCGTGGGGAATGTCGACGTAATTGAGACTTCAAGCAGTCTCTTGAGTTCGCCAGATGTTCAACATTTTTTACACCGGCAACTTGTCGCACCCCTGGTCCACTGGGACCGGTCGGTTTGTCATGTGACCGGAGTGTTAATTCTCTAAAAATCTGACGGGGCCGGCAACGTTTTCACATTACAGTGGGTCAGCTGAAGTGTCGCAACTAAACTATCTGTGTCATCTCTGTGCATCGTCATTCTAACTATCATCTGGGTCATCTTAAATCCTGCCTCTGCTGTCTCTTTGGCTATACTCCTTAACATTTACACACAGCACAATACCTGACCTACATCAGAGTAGTTGCTTCCTCTTCTCTCAACGACTCGTCTATAGTTTATATACTTCTTATCTCAATGAGGTATAAAGATTCCTCATTGTGAGCCTTCATACACTGACCTGGTTTGCAGATATTAAAGTCCATGGCTCCCCCCATGTTAAGTATTTTCTGGATAATGGTTTTGGCGAGAGCAGCGGGCGTGAATAGGACGGGTCTTCTTCTCTGGGTCCGCTGGAGGGTGACGGGACTGTAGGGAATCAGGCTCAAGCTCCTGCTCAGCTCACCATCTCCGTCAGCGGCATCTGTTTGCACCAACAGCCACAGCGTGCAACGAGAGGTATAGCACAATTATGACTCAGTTTGAGAACAGAAAGTGAAGAGCTGCCAAAAATAATTTTAGCAAACGAATATCTAGTCTGAATTTGAGCAACAGAGTGAAAAGAGAAAAAGCAGCCAGCAAAAGAAGGGCTCAGTGCAGATAAAAGAAACTAAGCACTGCATTGTACACCTTCAGTACTCTTTTTAAAAATTAACATGAATCTTGTGCAGCAACATTTCCAGTCACAGCCCCACCCCCATGTTCTATTAAAGCCTTTCATTCATGCTCTCACCTAAACAGTTAATTCCACGTTATCATATTTTTATAGTGTTACTGTTATAGCAGTTTTAGTTTCATGGCCTTTTCACACCTCGCTATGTAATTTAAATGTTTAAATTGCTGCTTTGGCTCACACATGTTATGCAGAGCACACAGTTCAAGCACTTTCCAGTCTTACACTTGAGCACAACTTCCAACCGTTTCCACCGCACACCCGTCTGTGTTTACATCAAGTGACATTTCACACACTTTCATCTTACTCTTCCAATGACTCCTTCAGCTCCTGTCAGGGCTTCTTATACAACTGACACTTCACACGCTCTGAGCTTTTTGACAACAAAAACCATCAAAACAACTTTTGCTTTTTAGACGCGATTTACTTCAGTTGCTCTCTGTGCTCACGGTGTCCTCAATCCTCAACTCCTTTCAGCTTTTTTTCTTCCTTTTTTTCGCGCTTCAGCTTCACCAGAATTGCTTGCATGGAAAATGGCACCTATGCACCCTTTAGCAGCTCTTTACCACTGCTGCTTTCACTTTCTGCGCTTTTGACAGCCACTTCAAATGCTTCAGCTGTGAATTTTCCGTAGTTAGCACATGTGCACCGTCTTTGTTTTGTCTCTCCCCCCCAACCGACCGACTGCAACGCTTTGTGCTCACCTTCGGGTCGAAGCACCTCAAAGCCTTGCCTGGGTAGTGTTGTGCTGCCTGAGTTGATGATCCTCACACGCTCATTGCTGTTCATTCGCTTGTACTTGATGTCCACCCTGCTCACAAACTGCAAATCAAAGCAGATATAGAAAAAAAGGCCTGAGTTACTGAGACGTGGAGGCAGTTGCGCATCGGTTTTATGGAAAACGAAGCGTTTATTAGGACCAATCTTGATTCATTGTCTTAAGTTTCCGCACCGCCGAACAACTCTCGACATCGCGACAACTGGAGGTTTTGTTTGAACTTTATTACCTGCAGTATTTGAGTGAGGAAGATGCTCGCTCTAGACAAGCGCGGGCTGGCTCTGGGATCAGGAGAGTGGCTGGTTTCTTCTGGTTGTAAATTATTCTAGGCAGAAATGAAAAGCATACATGAATGTTGTGATCCAAACTGTAACAAACACGCTTTTGTGAGCACAACATAGCAGAATAACGCCCTGAAATAACTACTTACTCAACCAACCTGACATCAATGTAAACTGATGCTGACCCAAGCTTAAGTAGGAAGCTTAGTTCTAGCGTGTTATCAAAGAGCACTCTAGAGTGTTTTCTTTTTGATTGCAGATGCATGGGCATGTATACGGCTTGTTTATCATGCAATGCAGGTACCTGAAAGGGTATCTCATGGATGAACTGCAAAATAAATCCAATCTGGAATGCAATCTGGAAACCCATCGCCTAGTCTCAGATTATTTGGAAATGCATAGAAATTTTTTTTCGAGGGGAGGGTTGCAACTATCATGCAGGCGTGGTTGCATGCAAACTGCTTGCAATCAATATTGGAAAGAAATATCCAAAATATACAGAGATGGCTAGGATAAGAACTATTAAATGGTAAATTTTTTATTGGGAAATAGTTGGATATTAATCATTTCTGGGAAAACTGCCTTTGTTGTTCCGGTTGTGCACATCAAACCACCTCCCCCGCCAATCCAATGACCTAGGAAGGATTTTCCCCCACATTACGCGTTAGTTTGCAAACCCTTAATTTGCAACCCAGGCTATAAGACTTATTTACGCATCTTTGCTTTAGTCAAATACCCGTATTCAAATTTTCAATGCACTTTTTTAAACTAAGTGAGAGAGCGAGAGGAAAAAGAAAGAGGCTGAGGTTTCTCACCCTGTTGTTCCGTTGAATTTCATTCTCTTCTTTCCCCCCTCGATACACTAACTTCTGAATCTTTACCAGGAGCAGCTGCTGGGCTCTATTCACACACGTAAACACACAAAAACACACACACACATGCACACTGAATGCTTGTCAAGATTCTCCCTCCGTGTACGAACTCGTCCTCCCTCGGGCTTCTTTTTATTATGCTCTGAGGTTACAACAGGCTGTTTCTGCAGATGTTTCAGGTTAATGCTTCTTTGGTGTAATGTGTAATCTTTTAGGAGATCAGTGGTAATCAGCTGCTACTGCATTTTGAAAATCTGAGCTAAAACTCACTCACAAACTTCAGTTTAAAAAACAAAAGCATACAAAGTCTGTACCGTGAGTAACTGGGTATAGTGCCTCGCTCAGCCAGGTCAGAGCCGCTGTAGGGGTCCACACGGGCGCACTGCCACTCACAGCGGCCCTGGTGCCTGGTGTCCAGCACGTGCACCACCTCATCGCAGCGCACGGACAAAGAGCAGCTGTCCGACTGTCCGGAGATGTTGAGGTTGACACGTATGTAGAATGAGTCGCCGGATGCTAAAGTGCCATCTGCTAGATTGCTCTGGAGACGGCGATAAGCTGCAGGGCGAGCATATATTTGAGTTCACGTATGCTGTGGAGTCACATTAAACAAATGTTCCAATATAAACATCACTTACAGTCGTGGCTGGCTCGATAGTGCAGGGTGATGGGCCCAGAGCAGTGCTGCAGAGTCCAGTGGGCTTCTTCCTGAGTGCTCGTCTCCAATGAAATGCTCTGGTTTTCCCCACGTATGCACCCCTCAAGCTGGACAGCCAATCACAGCAGAAACAAAGATTACCGATTAGTCCCTTCTAAAAACTGTCACAGGAAAAGGAACAGAAATAGAACAAATAAAACAAGCAGGTGTCTAAAATTATGAAATCGGCGTGTTCCTCGTTCCTCTCTAAATGTCCATCCACGTTCCCAGTTCTCTAAAGAGTTTTTCTTTTTGCACATCCAGCTGTTTTAACTGAGGTCGTCTTACTGCCACCATGAATCTTTTCACAATGAAAACATTCAGGAAGTAGATGACATACAAACATGAGGTGGTGGCCCTCTCGTAGCCCCGCCTTCTCTGCGTTGGACCCAGACTGGACATACGAGATGAAGATCCCGCTGTCGTTGCCACCGATCAGCCTGATGTCCTTCAGCAGGTTGTCGCCTTGCAGCGACAGCTCCTGCACCGGCTTCAGGGACCCGCTGAGTCTGGAGAAGGAGGAAAGAGACGGGCGGAACGGCCTGCACGAGCACACAAAGACACAAAGCAGAAGGTGTTTGTAAGTCAGCATCACTTTTCGCTTTTATTCCTGTGTGCGTTTCTGCACCAGCGGACATGCTGTACCTCTCCAAAGAGAGTTTCCTGAAGATGTTGTTGACCTGCTCCAGGTCATAAGTGTCCATTCCTTCAGACTGATGGGAAGAGGAAGATGAGTGCACAGAGGGAGGACCACGCTCATCCTCTGAGGAAAGAATAGAAATAGATGGATCATTTTTTTTCCTTCAAAAAGAAAAACCAGGTCAACTGAAGGTAAACATAGTATCTCAGATCACAAATAGCAGATGTTTAAAAAGTGCATTACCAAGCTCCATTTCCATGTTGTCACTGTCAAAGTCAGAGATGCTAAAACAGACAAAACAAATCAGACTGAAGGGAAGGCAAACCAGCAGAAATTCTTCAAACTTTACTGCCATGAAGTTCAATCGGTCGTCTCCGTGACGTTTATTCAGTACCTGCGGGGGTAGAAGTCGTGCTCCTTCTCCCTCTCTCGGCGGTAAAGGGACGCTTTCTCAGGGGGTTCAGGAAGAGTGGACAGGATGCTGTCGTTACGGCAACGCAGCTGAAAGGGAGAAGTCGGCATTATACGCTGGACAAGCCATTTACGTCAACACTGCATTAGATTCTGGATAGACCAGGATTTCTACAAAGAGCAGCCAGGATGATTATTTTTTACCAAAATCAGAGCAGCGCAATTACACTGGTATTAAAAGTAAGCAAAAACAACTGAGTCGCACCATTTGCCTGTTGCTGGGTGAATCCACCGGGCTGAACATGAGCTGGGAGGCGGACGAAGAGAAGGTGAGCGGGGGAGCCGACGAGGGCGGATATGTGGGGGAAATAGGGATGCTGGGTGAGGGAGGGAGAGAGCTGCTGTTGCCATAATTCGGCACGTTGATCTCCAGAAAGTTGCCTCCGTTGGTAGGAGCCGAAGCTGGAAGGTGGAGATAAACTTTTATAAAGCTGCACAAAAGGATTGGTCACATGTTGCGGTAGGACATGCGGCGGTAGGTAGTGTTACCTGCAGGGTGACTGTTCTCTGAGTTGATTGGAAAGTCTTTCAGTAAAGAGACTGGAGACTTTACTCTATTCTAAAAGACAAAACACAGTCATTTTGATCAGTTTGTCATGTGTAGGAGAGCCATTTGATAAATCTCTGCTCTGTGCATTAGAAGGTATTGACTTTGGTCTTTGCTTCACATGATCTATAAGGTTAAGGAGAGAATAACTGACCCCCGCTTTGAGGTTGAGTCTGCGTCTGAGTCGGGGCTCCTCGGAGAAGAACTTGTCGTCAGGCGACTCGTCGCTGGAGCATTCAGACTGTCCCTGTGCCAGTTTACTATCATCTCCCTGAGAAATGATGGACGGAGGTAAATCCCTTGGTAGACTCTGCAAAAACAGTGAAACGGTTAAAGGGGAGGAATGTTTGGCGAAAACTTGAGCATTTTTTAAATCGATATGTGAAGAAAAGAAACAATATCCCTTCGCACTACTGTGTCTGACCTGGTCTAGGTTGATGTCTTTGGACATTCGTCGCAGGCGAGACTCCAGAGTGACCAGCTTAGCGTCTTTGCGTACAATCTCCAGGTGGAGTTCATCGCTCCTCTCCTCCAGCTCTCTGATCTGCTTGCGATACTTGTCCTTGTCAATGAGACACTGGGAGAACTGGTGCTGGGCCTCGTCTCTGGCTCGAAACGCCTGCAAGCAGCAGAGGAGTTAACACAGAAGTATGAAGGATTTTGTATGTATGAAATCATGTGTGTTGTGTGTGTTTTCACCTGGTCTCTCTCCTTCTCCACCTCGTCTAGCTGTACAGCGATGGTGTCTATGCGGTTGCGATACATCTCGCAATCCTTCTGCAGTGTGGAGCACTTCAGCTCCAGGTCCTCCTTTTCTTCCAGGTACTGCATACACGGACACACACACACACACGCACACAGACCAAAACTAACGGTTATTTATAGTTAGACAAAAACAGGTAGAGAAATACAGGAAGAGAAACAGCGGGAGAGAAATAAAGAGCCACCAGATTATGCAGAAAGAGGCCTGAGACGGGGCTTTCTTCAAAGGTCTCATGGGGCACTGGTTTAGGTTTCTAGGGTGTGTTACTGCAAAGCCTGTTTGTTCAGTGTGCCTCTCTGCACCACACTGCTACATATTCACACATTTAAACACAGATGGAAACAAGCTGCCAGACAGAAATATGACTGCTAAACTCCCATTTAGCCCACTTACAGCATACAGCCATACATTCTTATGTGTGTGTGTGTGGTTGTAACCTTATCTCGTAGTTCCTCTGCCTGTCTGATTTCTTCATGCAGGTTGTAGAGGCGGTTGACCAGATCCTGTCTGTCTTCTAGTGCTTCCTGTCTGTCATGCTCCAAAATGTCAAGGATGGCCTTGTCTGACTCAGGTAAAGGGCCGGGCTGGGTAAGAAACACACACACACATTAACACTGTTAGATATGAAATCATATGACCGGCTGCTACACTGCAGTTGTCAACCTTTCCTTTTTATGCTTATCAGCAAGGAAATAGTGAGTCAACCAATAAGTGTGAGTTTATTGATAGAACACCTCATCACATTTAGACCTTCTTCAGAGTAATTTATAGAGCAAAGTTAAGAAAAATAAAATGATGCATCTATTGTCCGTTCCCTTATTTCATGGCACACTCACTGGACACTTCAATGGGTACAGCTTTTCAGCTGTTTATTAACACAAAACAAGTCAGTGCGTGTAGACACGGTCAAGACGATCTGCTGAAGCTCGAACTGAGCATCAGAATGAGGACGAAAGGTGATTTAAGAGAGTTTAAAAGGTGGCGTTGTTGTTGGTGCCAGTCGGGCAGATCAGTATTTCAGAAACTGCTGATCTACTGGGATTTACCCACATAATCATCTATATAGTTTAAAGAGAATGTCCTGAAAAAGACATAACATCCAATGAGCTGCAGTTCTCTGGGTAGAAATGCCTGATTGGGAGTCTGTTCTTGGTTCTTTAGAGGTTTGTATTCTAACTTTAGTTCCTGTTTGGTTTTCCATGATGTTTTCAGCTCAGAATTTCTTTTCTTTTATATTTTGTAACTATAGTTATTGTTTACCATTAACCCCTTTCCCATCATTATATTAGACATCCATTGTCTTTTGATTCCTGTTTTATTTTGCTAGCCTCCTGTGTCGTGTATGTGTACTTAGTTTTGAGTCCAATGTCTTGTTTTCCCAGATTAGGAAGAGTGAGGAAGGCACCAGTAACTCAAATAACCACTCATTACAGCCAAGTTATGCAGAAGAGCATCTCTGAATGTAGAATTATGTAACCTTGGCGCAGACTGGCTACAGCAGCAGAAGACCACATTGGATCTGGTCTCTCATGTCAACTAACAACAAGAAACTGAAGCTGGAATTCATATTTGCTCACCAAAAGGGGAAACAGACAACTGAAGAAAGATGCTTGGTCTCAATTTCTAGTGCGACATTCAGATTACAACATGAAAGCATGGATCCATCCTTCTTCGCCTCAGCAGGTTAGGCTGCTGTTGGTGGTGTAATGGTGCAGGGATGGTGCTTTCTTGGACATGACAATGACTTTGTTGTACTCAGATGGTCTCTAATAGAGCGCTTTGAGATGTTGTTGAAACGGGAGATTCACATCATGGATGTGCAGCTGGCAAAACTGCAGCAACTGTGTGATGCTATCATGTCAATATGGACCAAAATCTCAGAGGAATATTTCCAGCATTTTGTTGAATCTATGCCACGGAGAATTAAAGCAGTTCTAAAGACAAAAAGAGGCCCAATCTGGTACTAACAAGGTGTACCCAATGAAGTGGCCAGTGAGCGTGTCTACTGTTAAAGATGGTGGATGTTCATATTAAACATGACCAAATACTCTTAGCTCTCTATGATGTCAATGAGAGCAGATTTTCCCAATATGGTCATCTGAGGCAAACAGGTTTGTCGGTGAGCACAGAAGCCACACCCACTTGTTTTCAAAGCCTTCTGTTTATGAGAAGCAGGCAAGAAAAAAGTTGGCTTAAAGGTAGATAAGCTAAAAATGCAGAGCAGTTAAAAGTTCCCACAGCAAATAAACGAAGGCCCACACATAGACCAATGATATAAGATTATTTTTTATCTGTGAATCATGCAAATAGAAAACTATGCAATTGGAACTGAAAAATGAATGAATAATAGGTTCTATTATTAGTTAGTCCAACCCAGCTCAGTAGCTCAGTCCTTTGGTGTCGATGGTTTTTGTACCTTACACTTTTGTTTTGCACTTACAGCAGCAGACAAACAGCAGTTGGGCTGCAAACTCAGTGTTGCATTTAGCTGCTAAGATATTTTTACACACATGCGGAGATAAGCATCTGACAGCTCACGCTAACAGCTTGTTGTGCTGCTCTGAAGTGGTGAAAATGTATTTATTACAGTAGGTTTAAGTTATGATAGCAGAGCAGGCAATGTCAGTGCTTTATTACATAATGCTCAAGTACCTGTATGATGGACTGTAGCTCCTGCAGTTTGATCTTGAGCATCTCGTTCTCTCTTTCCAGCTCAAAGATCTGCTCTCTCTTTGGCCGATTCTCGATGTCGTTCTTCAGCTTCAGACTCTGTCTCCTCTCCATCTTACACTCTTCCTCCACCTTGTTCAACTTGTGCTTCAGTTGGTCAATCTATAACACAGACAAGACAGTGATCAGCATCGAGCTACAGGAACGCTCTTACTGTTTTTGGTTTTTGTTCATTGATTATCATTAATACACAGAGTGATGACGGCGTTTATCTGCATGTGCTTTAATACGTCAGGCAGTACCTCCAGCTGCAAGTCTCGGCTTCTCATCACAGCCATGTTCTTCTCCTCACTCAGCGTGGCGTACCTCATGGCCAGCTTGTAGTTTTCATCCTTTACTCTCAGGAGCTCATCACTGTAGGTGTTTCTCTCCTCTCTCAGCTTATTGTACCCTAAGAGGCAACCAGAAATGTGAAAATGTAGCTTTACTAGATCCTTCTTCTTTATTCGTTTTGCTGTTGGGCAGCAGTTGTTTCATTGGTGGAAATAAGGAATATGGCTTCCCTTTATGTGTAAAGATTAACATCCTTTTCTGTTTTGCAGCACATTACATGACATCCAAAAACAAGCTCAACGCTGATATATTAAAAAATTGATAAAAGTCGCAAAGCTAATTATATGAGCATGTGAAAGCCTAAAGAGTGTACTTGCACTATTTTTAGTATTTATTTGTTTGTGCTTGGTGTTCCAGCTGCAGTGTTTAACTGCATGGGGCATAAAGACCACAGCGTCCTAGTTTCACTGGTAGTCTTTGAGAGACAACAGAGTTTATCCATATCGAACCTGAATGTGGTGCACCAGGCGGGGCAAACCAAGCCTGTGTGGTGGGTTGCAGTTTCAGCAAATCGTGGTAAGCTTTTGGTTTAGATTTTATGTTTAACCATTTGAGACAATAGTCATCTGTCTTTACTGTCTGCAGCGAGTAGGTGTGTGTGTGTGTGTGTGTGTGTGTTTTAAGCATCCAAGATATCAGCAGCAGTGGTTAGAAGCATTATCTTTTCGGTAAATGCATCCCAGTAAACATATTAATGATATACTGTAAGTTATTCGCTTTGTGAGAATGGCTTCAAATTTAGTACCGACTTTTACTTTTTAAGGATTCAATGATTTGTTGTCCATATGTTATATACACAATACACATGAATGTATATACTACTGCTGACAAAACTAACCTGGACTAGGATCAAATTCTGAAGCGGTGATATTTTCTACACAACAGGTCAGTCTGGGTGCACACATACGCGTGGATGCAAACAACACCTTAGTGCAGCCACGCAACTGCATTGTCAGTCTTATTAATACAAATTCAGCGTAGAGACACAGATGATGGGAAGCTAGTCAGGAAATATATCAAACAAAAACAAAAAATCTTTACTCTGCTGGAAGGCCTGAAGCTCCTGATTGGCCAGCTTTAACTTCCTTTTTTCATCTTCCAGAGTGACGAACTTCTTGTTGAGCTCAGCGTGCTGCAGGGTCTTGACTTTGGACTGCTGCTGCAGCTTCGTGACTTCATTCATCAGAAACTGCGTCAGACCCTCGTGACCCTCTTCCACTGCAGGAGAGCAGAGGAGGAAAAAAACAAACAAAGTATATTATACACCTCTGACTTTATAACAGGATTGCAAAGTAAGCTGATTTGGATCAATTCAGCTCTTACACTGCATAACTGAAGTGACTGCTTTTGCCTGAACAGAGCTATAAAGCAGCTACAGAACGACCAGTTCACACAGTTTCCTCCCATAACTGGAGTTATGAACTGGAGCTATCTACTCCATTTGAGTCAAATACTCCTGGGCAACTTTGGATTCAGCATCTTGCAGAAGGAGCAGGTAATCGATCCACCAACCAACCTTCAACTCACACATGTCACGCTTCACTTCAGAAATTTTCTACACTTCACTGTCCATCAAAGCCTGTATGAGTCTTTGTAGTACACGGAAGATGTGTGTTCATGCATGTATGTGCTGGATGCAAAGATTTTTGCCTCACCGACAATGGTGGAGAAGCGTCGTGTGGGTTCCTTCCCCGTGACCAGCTTGTACAGGTCAGGGTAGTAAAATTCCAGACTCTCCAGGAAGGCCACGTACCCCCGCTCGCCTTTAGTGTGGAGGATGTCAAGTAGACGGCCTGAGAGAGGAAGGGTTAACATGTAAGAGGTCAAAGAAAAAGAAAGCAAAATAGGAGTTCTGCCTTTAATAATTAACAAATGTGGAAATACGCCTTTCTACCCACTTGTGCGGTTTGTTTTTGTGGCAAGCACTAGTGAGTTGAGAATCTCATCCTCATCCAGTTCATCCAGGACTTTGCACTGACGAAGGTAGGGCGTGAGCTTTGACGGGGTGATCGTAGTACACAGGTTGTAGCGTTGGCTCTCCACCTTCTCCCACAATGCCTCCACATCATCAGATGTCCCATTTTCCATTTCTTACACCCTTAAAAAGTAGCAGAACCCACAGGGGGGGTTAGCTGTGCAGCATGTTGTCTGTTTTTACATGTCTCGTACTGGAAATTAACTTATGCGAGTTAGCTGAGGACATCGCAGATCTGTGAATGCTCCCTGAACAGTTATCATGCACAAAATGGTGAATGAAAAAGGAGAAGGAACTGAGAGGACATATTTGTTAGGTTATGCGAAACCACATTTGAAATATGATAGCTTAGTTTACTTTCAGACATCAACAAGACTAAGAAAGATGCACCAAATTAAAAGATATACACATTTATATGATCCCGAAAGAAGTTTCTACTTTGGTAAAAACAGAATAACACAGTGTTTTTAAATATATAAAAGTTGATTTTGTTTGTGAGCCACAATAATTTCTGTTTATGAATTTCATGCTACTTATTTCTGTCATATGGATGGAATCTCTTTCCTTCTTTGGTCTGATGGGTTGCCATCAGATAAAATCTGGGGATGCATATTAATGGTTCTGGGAAGCTGATTGAACTTTTAGCCTCCTAGTTTTTCCGTTAGTACCCCCACCAACTATTACCAGAAAGTTGACATTTGTGGTTTTCAATAAAATTTCCGAACAGACCACCAAGTGACACATAATACACACATCTCATACAGAGGAAAGTGTATCAATTTTAGCCACCAGCTACGTGCAAAAACTAGCTGCATTTTTGACATCAATTAGCAGATGTTAGCATGCTAACATGCTAAGCTAAATGCTAAATTAAAAGAAAGGGTATTAAAAGAAACCTTTAGTGCATATAGTGCATATAGTTAGTTAGACAAATGTCTAAATTATTACATTTCTGTATTTAAATATGAAAGCACTCATTTACCAAGTTTTCGTCTAAGTGGTCAAGGACAGAGCACCTGTGGCTGCCCTACAGAACCAGAAGCTATGCCAGGTAGGATGTATATACTGATACTGCAGTAATTACATGAAGCCACTACTTTTTTTAAAGCAGATTTTTTTTGTTGTTTTTATTGCTGAACCATTTCACTGCCACTGCCATTGTTTCCATACAGAGAGAAACCACCATTTTAGGCCTTGATTATCTTATGGCCTTCATAAACAATGGTAAAAAAAGGAAGCACAATAAGAATTATATGCTTCTGTGTTGCTACATTGTAAGCAGCTTAAGTCATTCTCTAGCTCCTCCGTCGTTCTCCGACAGCCATGAGGTGAAAGAACTTACGTCTGGTAAATCCCTTGTCCTACCCAAAACTGCATATACTGACATCACTCGAGAAAACTCATCATTATTGACTCATTTTCCTATCTGAGACTTCCAACTGATCTCATATTTATTGTATTACCTCCAAGGTGTAAAATCTTTTTTTATATTTATCTTTATAGCTGATATGGTCCTGAAATATGATAACAGATGCATCTAAAAGAGCCGCTACATGCCTTACTAAGTATAACAGAACTTTGGTCCCACACACTCTTGACATAGACTTTAATTGGCTGACATCTTTCCATTTGCCTCTCCACTCTTTTAATTTTTACTTTTCCAGAGACAAATTGGTGCTCTCTTGATCTTCCTCTTACTCCCACTTGGTTTCCTCTCTCCATCTTATACAGGCATGCACACTGTCCATGCACTGCTGGCATTTGCATGCTCTTTGGGTAGTGGGTGTTATCCTACAAGCCCGCTTTGTGACTTGAAGCCAACAGTTAGGCAAATCATGGTTATCTGATGCCGCAGCACATGTAAACACACACAATCACGCATACTTTTGCATACTCTAACTGCATGTGTAAAAACTGGAGCTTGTGCTTTTGTCCTGCTTAGAAATGACACATGCTGGTTATAATGCCAGAGCAGCATCTGATGTACCCAGTTTAATCTTTATTGTAAATGTGAAAGTAAATTAAAAGTGAGATTAAGCTCCTCTCAACAGCTTTACCTCTATTATTTTGTAACTGCCTTCAGATATTTGTGCAGACAGTGAACAAAATCAATGACAAGCTTCTCCGCAGTTCGATACAAGCACAAATATCACACCCTCTCAACTCTTAAGCTATTATTTGTATCTACAGCATGCATACCCTGCCACAGTCACTGCAGATGATGAAACCACAAACACTCAGACCAACACACACAGACACACACACACACCCCTGCAGTTGTGCACATGCACAAATACACAGTGCATGCAGGCACATTATAAACACACACAAACACACATGCACGCACAGACCCCTTCAGTAACCACACACATGTTTCCTCTTCTCTCTTTTCTTAATTTGGACTTGATTACCGAGAAAGCTCATCCTTGCTTCCTCCTTTTCAAACCAGATGTGAGTAGCTGCTCCCTTCCTCTCTTCTCTGTTCGTCTTCACAGACAGCCACTCTTGTTTATAGTACTGCGGTCAGAGGAGTTGATTGTCCATTTTAAAGCAGTGCGCACACAGACGTGTGTGTGTGTGTGTGTGTGTGTGTGTGTGTGTGTGTGTGTGTGTGTGTGTGTGTGTGTGTGCGTGCGTGCATGCGTGTGTGTGTGTGTGTGTGTGTGTGTGTCTAACCCTCCCTTCCTTTTTGTTAATGTCTCTATACTTAGAAAACTCAGTTTGACTTTTTGCAGGTGAAGAAATGCACTCACACACACACCCACCCAAAGAAAAAAAATTTGAATTTCCTTTTTGGAGAAGTCACACTACATGTTTTCGCTTCAGTATTTCCACTCAGTGGAACACGATAAATAAAGAAACCTCCATTTCAAATGCTTCTTTAACGTTGCTCTACATCAGGACCTGTGCACCCAAGTGAAAGACTTACTTTATATGGTTTTCAAACGGGATTTCAGTTGCTTTGAGCGTCAGTGTTTCACCTCATATACAACGGCATCAAACTCATTCTGAAACCATTTTCATTTTTGTGCATCTGTAATGGAAAGCAGTAAAGTGTCCTTAAAATGGTGATCCTTTGTCTGCAGTGCACTGACTATTTAGAAAGCTTTTCTTTCAGGGCCGGGTGTGAACCGCTTTGGAAACACACCAAACTGCTGTGAAACCAGGTTGTATCATGGGAATCAGTTTGCTCGAGACCACTCTCTGACAATCAGCGAATATGCAGTCATTCTGAGACTTACATGACACTAGTTTCTGCGGGTCCATCTAAGATCAGAGCATATAATGGAAGCTGAGATTAATTTTCAAATCAACAAGAAAAAGTCAGTGGCAGGGGGGGTGTTCACTGTAAATCCCAGAGAACATAAATCTCTGTATAAATCCCTGCAAAATCAGAGTGCTGAAAGAATTTAATTAGGAAGATGCAAACAGTAAAGACGCACAGATATTCCTCTCTAAATAAAATAATACAAATAATTCAAATTTTGATCTAATATACAGCTTAACAGTGTTGCAACTCATAGACTCACAATGTGTGACATAGGATGACAGTGCCATTGGTCCGCACATGCAATTTGTACTATTTTCTGCTTTATTCTGTTGCGGATAAATGTTTTGCATTGAGTTTTCAAATACAGTCCATCCAGGTGCACGAGATCAGGTCATATGATCCTACGTGGAGGGGGGGGTCAAGGCTTACTGTCAGAGTGTTGGCCTCATACAGGCGGGTCAGCTAGCTGATAGGCAGATTATGATTGGTTCAGGTGCACAAACCATCATAAAGACTCCATTGTCTGGCCGAATAGCTGAAGCTATAAGAATTTGATATCTGGGTTCCCTCTGTGGAGATCGGTGAAAGAACACAGCAGACAAAGGCGGACGTCGAGCATCTCTAAAAGATTAATATGCACTGCTTTCGTAGTTTAGCAGAACAAATAAATAAGCAAAAAAATACTTTGCATCTCACTTTTAATTTAACTGAAAAGAATGAACAGTTGAGCCCAGAGATGACAGGCAATAGGCATAGCTTCCCATGCCTGTTAGACCAACTTTCACAACAAGTTAATATTACTCCTTTTTCTGCTTACAGCATTTGAAAAGGGAGTGCATGCTGTTGGTGGGGTGGTGTCCCTTTTTGTGCACTTTTTAAAATTAGATCGTCCCATTTCCTGACAAATATTACTCAACACTTTCAGCAAACATGATAAGGTTTTTGGTTTTTTACAAGCCGACGCCAGTCACATCTCGGTGCGCTGTCCGTGACATGTGTATGTCCTTGCGTCTCCCTCACTTTCACTCTCACTGGATGTCATTGTTTCTCCACCTGCTGCTGGAATCCCAAACATTTGGATATTGCCAGATAAAGAGCAGACCATGACAGGATTGCAGATATTATATTACACATCTAATAGCCTATAAATTTTCTAATGTAAGAGCCAGAAAAACAGGTGAACGGAGTCATAAATGCAGATGACAGATTTGCCATCATCTTTTATCGAGTGTCGTTTCTTCTGAGAGAATACCTGCCTTGTTTTCAGAAGGGTGGTGCGGTCTATATTTTAATCATAGCTCTAATCTAGATGACACACAGCACGGTTTAGAAAGTCTGTCATCGCTGCGGTGATATGAGGTGTAAAGCCTGTGTGACTCCTCGCTTTTTCCACTCCAAAAAAGTGCGGCACGTTTACAAGGCTGTTGGTGAACCTTTTCCCTCAATAATAAATATGAAAAGTTTTGACATATTTATGAGGGAAAGGGAGGGGAGACGGGCAATTCTATACCGGCCATTTTTTTGCTTACCTGAGATGCGGCGGATGTGAATTTCAAAGAGTCGAAGAGACGGTAAAGTTGGCCTCTAGCTGCGGTGTGGAGCCTGATTCTGTTGTTTTTCTTGCCTTGTTAAAATCTAAACACCGGTTTATCCACCATGGATCCTAAAAGCTCAGGTTGTCTCCATTTATCCGAAAGAATGAGAAGTTTCTTTTTAAAAAAGAGAGCGGAGAGCGCATGGGAGCTGCGGCCCCGACTCACTGCCTCAGATAGAGATAGAGAAACAGAGAGCGAGAGAGAGAGAGAGAGAGAGAGAGAGAGAGAGAGAGGAGGCGGGCGATGTGAGCTCGGATGGAAATAACAAGCTCTGCGCACGGAGGTGAGGAAGAGCGCAACCCCGCAGCAGCCGCCGTGACCTGCAAGTGTTTGCGCTGTGGCTGTGATCAGATACGGCATCACTGCCCTGCCATAAACCCGTCCACTCTAACAGGGACCTGTGAGTTTACAGTGTATTATATGAGGATTGTTATGCTTCTTGTCTAACAATCTGACGTAAACTCAGCTGGGTGATATCAACTTAACGGCAGCTTCTTTTCCCCCCTTTTATTTCACTTCATTATCTTCGTCTGATGCTGTGCTTCAGAAAGAGAAACACTTAAATGCATTCTCGAGGATCAAGCTTCACCGATCATAACGTGAAAACACCCTTTGGCCATAGGCACCCGATAGGTATTTGTATTTTATGGCTTTATATGGCCTGCATATTGTTACATTGATGATGGCAACATTTCAGCACTCTGACACTGCATAAACTATTTATCTGTTGCTTTAGTCCATAAGAGCCGATGTGCCATTCGTCTAGATTTCACATACAAGTGAAGTTTCAGCCACAACTGGCTAAAAAAAACAACCTGGTCTTTACACGTGAGCAAAATGCGTATTAATAGTGCGCAATTTTGTAATGTCTTTCACGTCTAAATAGGGGAAGAAGACGTTGTGGTGGGATTATGCAACTATCATTAACATAGAGACGGAGCTGTATTCTCTTCACTGGAGAAAGAGCACACGGCTAGGGGCTAATTTGCATCAAAGCAAATAGAAGTGTTACTTTGACCGATTCAGAAACAGTTAAAAAAACAACAACTGTGTGTTGCAGACAGACTCATAGAAAGAATTCAACACAATGAGCGATCAAAACTAAAGAAAATAAACACAATTTATTTTACATAAGTTATAGTAGTAAATGAAGAGTAGTCAGGAGATTGGTCCAGGTGACATGGAGATAAGGAGAGGATGGAGTGTGAGGATGCGTGAAGAATGAAGCTGATGAGCCGTACTGTGAAGCTGTGAAGCTGTGGGAAAGAGTCGTTAAAGCTATAGGTTAAGAAGAGAGGTGACGAGCAGTAGGCAGCAGTGTGGCTTCATGATGACAAAGAGCACTGCAGATGGGATGTTTGTTTTGAGAGTGTTGATGGGAATGCACAGAGAAGATTAGAAGGAGTAGTATTGTGTCTTTGTGGATTTAAAGAAAAATGAATATGATAAGGTGCCAAGAGAGGAACTGTGGTACTGCATGAGGGACGTATGAGGACAGCGAGACAGTAGTGATGGAAGAGGAAGTGCTGACAGATTAGCTCAGCCAGGAGTCTCCGTGGACTGTGATGTTTAGGGACGCCATTGTAGTGAGAGAAGGGAGTGGGTGGAAAAGAGGTTGGAGAGGTGGAGGTATACACTGAAGAGAAGAAGAATGAAAGTCATTAGAAGCAAGACAGAATACATGTGTGTGGATGAGAGGGAGACAGGTGTAACAGTGAAGCAGCAAGGAGTAGAGACAGTGAATGTGTGTGAGTTTAAATCCCCCGGGTCAACCATGCAAACCAATGGACAGTGCACAACAGAGGTGAGGAAGAGAGTGCAGGCAGGGTGGAGTGAGTGGAGACAAGTGGTGTAGGTGTTTTGTGGGACAAATGCCTAGGAAGGGAAGGGTGAAAGCGAAGGTTACAGAATGTGAGGGTCCGCAGATCTATAGTATTGATATCAACACTGGTATTGGTATCAGATCGATACTAGCATGAAAGTTGAAAGTATCGGTCTCAGTATTGATATTGGCATTACTGGCTCTGTATTAGTTTAAACACTACAAGTATCAGCACTACAAGACGGCAGTGAGACCTGCTATCATGTATAGAGGCAGAGCTAAACAGGACAGAATTAGAAACCATCACATCAAAGGGACAGCTCAGGTTTAGGACAAAGCTGGAGAGGCGAGAGAAGAAGAAAAAATGTATTTATAAAAGTATCAAACTAAGTAAATGTTTAAATATAAAGACATAACAAAATTAAAAGTTACAATGTAACCTATTAAGAATTAAATTTACCCTTCTATAATTGAGAAATTCGTTGTCATCTGATTCGTATTGTGTAGTCGAAGGACTGTCGCAAAAACCTGGAACCTTTTCAAATGCTTCGGAAGAAGGTTTGTAGGCACAGTCATTTTTATTCGGTTCGTCCGTATTATATGCCTGCCACCGTGCACTTTTTCTTTAAAGTGTTTTAATACTAACGGAGTGGGAGGGTCCGGCAGTGGTTTTAGTTCATTAGCGGAACTAAAGTCACGTCATGTGATTCCAGTCAGGACTCGATTAGCAAACGGACTGTTTACCTTCCGCTTCAGACAGATGTGGCAGAATAATATTCTTTCAAAATGTATTCTCACGCTTCAGAGAGTTTAATTAAACAAGCAAGGTAAGGGCAGAATGAAAGGATAGCTTTCTTTTTTTCTCCCCGCATTTCGCTTTCCTCTAATCTGTTTAGCTACTGAAACTAAAGCTAGCTAGCATGTTGAATATATCTCCATGTTATTCAAACGCACTTTAAAGATACATTCTTCTCAGGGCTCTTTAAAGCGTTCGCGACTTTAACTTGAGTAGAAAGAAATGTGTTCGCTGTCACATAACTCTGTCAGAGTTTTATTTTTATTTTTTTCAACGAGTGTTTAGCTTCCGTGAGATCTGTCAGGGGTCTTTAAAGAGATCAAAACCAGCCGCACTCTGTCGTTTGCAGAGAGATTCAGGAGTCTGAGCTGCAGAAGTTTTACAGCAGATTAATGAAGATGCTTCAGGGCAAGGAGCTCGGTCACGACACAGTGGACTCCCTGCAGAGGCTGCACCTCATCCTTTCTGCCACCAAGTACACCCGAACGTAAGAACTCCCACCCACGCCTCTCATACTTCATGTCGTGGATGAGCTGATACCAGTTTTCATTCTCACTGCTCTACATTTTAAACTTAATGATTCATCTCCACCTTTGTGTATTCATTTCTTATAACTTAAGCTACTTATCTCTTTCTCTAAACCCACTTTTTTCACTCCCTCCTCCCACTCTTTCCTCATTAGTGTCAGAGATTCAGGGTACGCAAACACTACACTTTTTTTTTATTGTCAATTTCAGTAGCACTTCCTGTGCATGATGTCTGTTTCCTTTTGAAAACTTTGGGATTGTGGTTTAGTCAGGACGCCTAGAAACTGGGGGCGGAGTTGAAATCGGCGATCAGACACCCACATTTCCACACTGCCGTGGTCTCCTCTGCTCTCAGCGCCTATCATCTTATCAGCACCTATGTCATCTGTTTGCTTGCAACAACCTCTAAACTATGTTTCATCCACCGTGACCACCTAAGAGTTAAGAGTTCCACTAATCAGCAGTTCAAACGAATAAATGTCAGGTCTTACATTTTGCTGTTATGCCTGCAAGTTGCTGTTCCTTTGCTCTGTGTTCTCAAAGGCAGTGTTTTCAACAGTTCAGCCTCTCACTTTCCATGTGGTCTTTTTTTCACAGTAAACAGCAGCTTCCCTTTCTTCCCACACTTTTAATTAAAGTTGTAATAATGTTTAAATCTATCCCTCAGCTTAATATAATTATTAAAAAGCAAGTCAAGCCAAATGTCTTGGGTCTGCATCACTGTGGGATAAATAAGTGCGTTGTCTTATTTCTCTTCTGCTGTCGTCAACCCAAGGCTGCCTTTAGAGCTCCAGAAGAGGTTTGTAGCGCTTCTCTCATCACCTGCGGAGCAGCATCAGGTGCTGAGCGCCGCTGTGCTCAGAGAAACGCTGCCCCTCACTGGTCAGGAGCTGAATTACAACCAGGACAATCTCGGTCAGCTGAACAGTCACGCTGCTGGTCTGCTGCTCTCACAGGTGGGCAGAACTGAAATTGTGTGGTTGAGCCTACTTCTTCATTACTGTGAGACATGTATTTAAAAGACTCACCACATCCTTTTTCAGCTCAGGATATTGGAAAAATAATTAGCCAGTATTGTTGTAATTTTAAATATAGAAGACATTTAGTAACACAGTCCCAGTTTGTGTTGTATGTGTGTGTGTGTCTTACTTGTTGGGCTTTTTTAAAGGCATTATCTAATGCAATCCTCTTTCACACTTTTAATCCTGGCAGGCTGTATCCAAGGGTGATCTTTCATCTCTCTGCACTCAACTCCTTCGCAATCTGGAGAGTCGACCGTCTGAAGGGCCGACTCACTCGCTCATGCACACCCTGCCAGTCCTCAACAACGTCCTCACACACAGCCCAGAGTGCCTCAGCGAAGGTAGCGGGACATACAGATACAGATCTGGACTTTTATCAAATGTTGTAAAAAATAATTCCACATCACTTCCTGCATCTGCTATGTGCACCAACTAATTGTTCATACAGTGTAGAACACACTGTGTTATGTTTGTTGGTAATTTCATAAAATTAAAATGTATATAAAGAAAATTTTTGTGTGTTTTCAAGCCTGTTTAGTCCTTCAAAGTACAGTTAATTTGGAGAAGAGTGATAATGAGGGGTAAAGGGAAACCTCTGGATTCACCTCCGTGTGTCTTATCTTATTGCTTTAAGTTGTTTGCACTGGAGAGAGTTGCACTCAAATCTCTCTCCAATTCTGACTGTCTGCAGATCAAATGACCCTTGTAAGCAAAAAGCTTGTTGATTGGCTGCGTTATGCTAGCGTCATGCAGGGAG